CTATCTATCCATCCATCCATCATCCATCCATCCATCATCTATCTATCCATCCATCCATCATCCATCCATCCATCATCTATCTATCCATCCATCCATCATCCATCCATCCATCATCTATCTATCCATCCATCCATCATCCATCCATCCATCATCTATCTATCCATCCATCCATCATCCATCCATCCATCATCTATCTATCCATCCATCCAACTGGGTATTGCGATATCTGAAGAAAGTATACTCTTTTAATACTTGTGTCTGAACATTTGTCTGAGTAAAATTAAGCAGCCACAACATGTGTGTAGAATAAATTCACAAGAGAGAAAGACCTGAGCTTTAGTGAACAGCCTGGAAAGATCAAACCTCAGAAGCTGCAGGAATGTCTTTGTGCTGCTGCAACACTATTCCAACGAATTGCTTCAATGCTGAAACTTTAATGAAAGCAGTCGATTCACACAGTTCAACGAGTGCTGATTAAAGTAAATGAAGGGCTCTCAAGGTTGTGTGCATTAATGATACAGACTCTCACCATCTCAATGCCCATGGCTCTCATTTGGTCGGTTCTCTTCTCACAGACCGATAAGAACTTCTTGGGATCAGACAGGGCATCTGCAATCGCTGAAACGAGAAGATCTCACAGCATGAAAACACTGAGACTTAAGACGAAACTCATGCTTGTTTTTACACAAAGGCCTCTAACCTCCGAAGCCATCGGGCACGTATGTTTTGAGGATGATGTTGCAGAAGACGGTGGCCAGGGACAGAGGTTTGTTGTACTCGTTTCGTAGGGAGATGTGCCTGTAGTTGGACTGCAGTCCGTCCAGCGGGAGAATGCGCTGTCCTATCAGCTTATTGCTGTCGTCGTACACGGCCACGCGCAGCACGGCGAGGTCTGGGAGGATCACCTGTGGGATCGGGGCACTGGTGTGTTATTTATTCTGCTTGTGTTTTTGACAGAGGAAAGAGTTTCAAAAGCAAAAACGAGAGACACAGAGACCTACACTGGAAAAAAAAACACACTCAGAAATCGTTAGTACATTTCAGAAATAGTTACAAAGAATCGGCAAGTAACACACTGAATTGTACAAAAAAATATACAAAAATTATATATTTTGAAGTAGAAAGACTAAAATAATATTTTCTTGTAAAACATGCTCCAATAATCTTTATTTTAATTAAAAAATAATAATTTTACAGCGTAGAATTCTAAATAATAAATTGTTCATGACATTTTTAATCAAAAAATATTCAGTATTGTTTTTCCTTTTTTCGTGTATTTATTTATTTAGGTTTAATAAATAAGTAGGCCTGCTTTTTTTATGTATTTTTTTATTTATTTGTATTTTTTTTATAACTGGGACCTTAGCATTTTGGAGTTTTTTTTTTTTACATTTATGTTTGCTTTATTGATTATAAAATTACAATTCATTACAAAATATGTTAATGCAAATGTAAATTGCAATGTCTCAAATAAGACATGGGCTTTGTGTTTAGTACAATCTGTTAAGAAGGATACATAATTTATGATTTCTGAGTCAGATTGATTGATTGGTTGGTTGGTTCGTTGGTTGGTTGATTGATTGATTGAGTGATTGATTACAACACTGGCCACAATTTTAGTTTAATAAATAAATAAGTCTCCTTTTTTGATACTTTCTTTTCATAACTTGCACCTCAACATTTTTGTGTGCATTTTTTACATTTAGGTTTGGCTTATTCATTATTTTATCATTATTTATATATTCATTTACTTATTATTTATTCATATTTTTTCCACACAAGGAGATTTTCTGAAAAAGATTTCTCCAAAAACGTGAAATCTTAATCATGTTCAGATTTTAAAAAAGAAAAGAGAAAAAAAAGCCACATCTAATGCAGCAAAAATGTCTCATAAAAAAACCTCATCGCACAAACTATACACAATTGCCAAAGCCTTGGAGAACAAATGAAAAAAATAAAAATAATAATAAAATAAAATCTGAAAAATACATAAGAATGAACAATGAAATAATAATAATAATAATAATAAATTATATTAAGATAAAATAAGTAAATAATATTTTGATAATCACAAAAGCAGAGTGTGAATGTTTGTTTGCTGTTAAATCTACACAAAAACAAATGCATTCAAAAGAGCTTGGATCCCAGCTAAAGATCTCTCTAAAGATTTTAGCAGCAATTAAAACTGCAAATATCATTTTCCTAAAGGTCAAATTAGTATTAATACTTCAATTAAACTGGGTCTGTTCCTCACACAAACCCATTTTACAACTTATTATAGACTTATAGAATTGAATGTGCAAGACTAGTTAAACTCCAGTTAAAAATGTAATTCCTAGATGAACGGAGTCTCTCCTAGACGTGCAGACTTATACTGTACTTTAGTGCAAAACCACTGAGGTTTTACTGTAAAGGTAGTGTGGATAATTAGACGTTCAGCGGCTTTCATAATGCAGATCTCTATAGTAACTACTCCATTTAGCTCATGTAGATATAATTAAAGTGCACTATCAAATTTCATGTCTTATACTTTCTAGATAATGACGTGGAGTTATTATAAGAGCATAATGTGTCAGGACCGTCGCTGAGTAAAGCTCACCTTCCTGAAGACAAAAGCTTCTCCGTTGTAGACGGATTCAGCCTGTTGTTCATCACCGTCCTCGTGCGAAACTCTTTACGTGTCTGTCGGGAGGCTTCACGTACGTGCCGATCTTCTCATCCGACAGAAACTGGCCTGAAATCACCTGAGAGACCAACACTGGACTCACTTTCAGAGCATTTTCCAAAACAGCAGACATTTAGCAGGCGCTTTATGCAAAGTGACCCACAGTACACCTATTACAGTCACATTTTACATAATTAACATGCTTTATTGTCTTACTGTGGCGCTAACAAACCTCACTGCTAAAGAGGTGATAGAGATTCATTTAACCAAACCAGAAGTGTTATTATTCAGGTAATATGCTAAAAAGTTTGACTAACTAAAAGAGAACTGGGTCTTTCACTTGGTTTAAAGGAAGAATTCCTACACTTTTTAATTCATGAATGTACAAGATTTTTCCACAATCTTTCAAAAACAAAAGTCTATCAATAAACAAAAAAATAATAATTTAAATAAATACATTTAAATAGATTTACATAAATTAAAGAAAGAAAGTTAGAAAGAAATAAATACTTTGAAATAGATTTAAAAAAAAATGAAAGAAATACCTTTACATATATACATGTATGTATGTATATATATATATATATATACAGTGGGTATGGAAAGTATTCAGACCCCCTTAAATTTT